TCGGCACGCATCGGGGTTGAACAAACCCCGGTAACTGCGTAACTCGCGCGCGCGGCCTCTCGACTTCCATTTTCTCTTTTTAACCGTAGATACTTGCCGACATAATTCCCGCCAATTCCTTTCGTCCCTGAAGGATAGACCTGCTGCGAGACTTCGCACTTTGCCGGGAGGCTCGCCTCTATTATAATGAAATCTCGTCGTTTCCCCGACGGAGCCGCGTACAACATCTCCGTCCTCGAGCGAGCAGCCCCCGGAATTTTTCGATTTTCCACGGCGCGGCGCGCAGGGGTCGTGGCACCGAGGGGGCGCCGTCGAGTAAATTGAAGCGATCTATTATATGCCGGTGCCGCGCGGGAAGGAAGAGGGATTGGTAGCGAAGTTGGGTATCAGCAAAAGGTGGAGGAGGATTGTCCAGGTTCGAAGACAGCGTCATGAATAAACGAAGCTATATAGGCATCGCAAAAGAATCGCTCGTAATTATCGGCCCTGTAAAGCGACCCGACGCGTGCTTGTTAGTCGGCTATTAGTCGATTAAATAAAGCGTTCGCATTATACGTCTCTCTCTCTTTTACGAAATTATAAGGCAATTGACCGCTTCGTAAACTCTCTCTTTACGATAGAAAAAAGAAAGGCAACTAAAAAATATATAAGCTGTCAAATATTTTAAAGAAATGACGCTCTGAAAAATCGTACCAACCAATTAACGTAACTAATTAACGAATTGAGAATTTAGGAATATTTACAATATCAACTTTATCTTCACAGTCCAATTATGCGCCGAGTTATTTTCTGACCGTCTCACAAATTGTTATAAGCGTTGGTTTCGCTTACGTAGAAATGCGCACTCCGGATCGATGACTCGCTCGCATGCATTATTAACTGTAATACTCGGCAACACGGATATCCGCGTCTCTCATGCATCACCTCCGCGCACCCGGTGATCCGTCATTAAAATTGCAGCGAGCCATAAGACACGCACTTCGCGAAAGAGTGCTATTAAACTTGCAGGGAATGTCGTATCGAACTAATTATCTCAATTCGCGCGACCTTCCATTGAGTTCTCATTGCGACGACAAAATCACATTAAGCTTCGAGTCACGTGTATATCCTTAAATCCGATTGAATCTTCGACGAAATGAGATTTAGTGCCCCAAAGAGACGCGATGTTAAACGATTTTAGACGTACGCGTTTTAGCAAATACAAAGCAAAGAGAGTTTCGATACAAATACGGAAAATTGATATCGTAATTATTGAAAAATAATATAAAGTAATATCGCAATAAGCGTAATTTCTCTTGGCGATTCCTTGGCGAAGTTCGAACAATCGCGCTTTAATTTATTTCTCATGAATACATTGCAAACCGTTACTCAAACGCAGAGCAATAAAATTCCATAAACACTCAATGAAGTTGAAAGTTTTATCTGAAAACGAGTAAATCCGGCGAGTTCAATCACGGAATCGCGAAGAAAGCACTAACAGAGAGAAGAATGATGATAACTCGTTATGACATATACAAGCCTTATATTTTTTTATGAAATCTCGCGGTCAATTCGGAAGACCGATAGACGGATAGACAAGTATTATCTCCTTTCTAGCCCGGAGCCATGCGATTAGCCGTATAGACGAACCTGTATCAGCCTTGACCTCCTCCTCGCCCTTTGGACCGACCTGGCCAACACCGAAACCACTCGAGAACCCCATTTCCGTCCGTCGTCACGGTAAATTGCATTTCCTCCTCGTGATCGCTCGTTATCGCTGAAAGAAGGGATTATAGCGGACGGAAAGGGATAAAGCTGCGGGGCTTCACGAGCCAGGAGGCTGTAGAACATCGAAGAGAGACAGAGAGATCTCGACGTCTCTCATTGCGCCTCATTTTTGTCTTCTCGACTTCCCTATCATTTTTCTAATTCCCGCCTAGCTTCTTCTTTGCTTCGCCTCGTTTTAAGTTTCATCTTTGAAACGAAAGGGTTACGGACTCGTGATTAACTTTACCAAAAAAAAAAAAAACAAATTTTACATCGCCGCTAAACGTGTAATTTCTTCTTTCGGCGGATTATTTAGCCCTACGCAGATAAGCCGCGGAAAAATTGTGAAACTGAGATGAACGTAGATCGTCCACTCACCTTGATGATGAAGTTGATTAAATGTTGAGGCTTTGCGAAATGTTTTTTATAATGACACGTTCGTAGACTAATCTTCAATATCGAAATCGCAGACGCTTATAGAACCAAACTTTTCTTACCTGAAAATGAAATATAATATTTGTTCAAAACGTGTCACAGTTTACTGAATCAAATATACATAATGACTATTTACGATCATCAATCTAACGAATCATAGAAATACTTCTTTACGAAGAACATAAAATATTCCAATCTATATCATACGTAAAACAATAAATCATTCTCCATTTTGTTGTTTCATATAATGCGCGTATCTAATTCAACGATGGCAAGAAAAGGAGACGGAAACAGGAAAAAGGCGATCAGGTTGACGAAGAATAAAGAGACTTCACGATTCAATAACGTCATCTTTTATCTTCGTTTTGTCAGGCATTGCGTTATATTCGCTTTTACGCGAATTGCAGCCGCAATATCGCGAGTAACAACGAGCAAGTAAAACATATGCATAACGTAACGTAATTCATTCGCTTCGCTATTACGACGAGCCGCCATCAAATGTAATACAATTCCAAAATTCGCCTGGCTCGTCGCATCACGCATTTAACGATCGTAATTACACGATCGTAATTGTACGTCCTAATAATCGCACAATAGTAACTGATAACAATGAATAGTCATCGGGGCATCGAGACGAGACATCGTCGTCGGCAACACGTCGGTGCAACAATGACAAATGATAAAATATCGTCACAACAGTAACATTAACGACGCAACAATAACGATAATTTTCATTATTACTATTATTATCTATATAATTAACATTATTCGCATCTATTTCGCATTGTCAACAATTAAACTATGAAAAGTAATAACATCATTCTCTCCTTATCGCGCGCATTCTCTTTCTCTCTCTCTCTCTCGATCTCTCCTTCTTTCGCACTTTTCTCATATGTGTATCGCTATATCTTTCACACATATATGTACATTTGTCAAGAAACCAAGGATAGCTATCGGATCAAGATCTTAAATAGAAAGATAAAGGATCGGGATAAGATGCAAGACCTGGCGATATTGTAGCGAAGAACTTTTTCTCGCAATAAAATACCTCTGAAAATATATATTCCTCGCACGTTTCACCTCCCAACATATATTGTATTATTCGCTTATGTTTGTTGGGTATAGTATATCTTACCGCACTTCCGCACGTTATCATAGAGGGCTGCAGAAAATCGAGAGATCGAGGATCTTTCCCCTCGCGTGTCAAAGCGATTTCGCACGGCGGAAAACGCCTTTTCGCATTCCGGGAGTATTGACTTACACGCGCGCCCACTTCGGGATACGAGATTGGCCGGGATATCATGCTCTCGCTCGCGACGGCTCGACGTCTGGAGATTTATCCGTGCTTGCGAGGCGTGCGTGCAATTTTGCATCGAGGGGACCGCGCCCGGAGAGAATTCAACGAGAAATACACGCGGTCCTTCGATAATTCCCGCAATCTATATTTCCGTGAGTAGCAGAGTAATGGCGAGCGTTGAGATGATAATTGCAACCTCAATCCAAGTTAATCAGAGTTCTTCGAAACGATAACGATTATCTTCTCCGATACAAGCGTGTATTCGAACTGTATGCGTTACGGTACACCTTTTACGTTGTCGATGCGACACGGTGGCATTTAGATTCGTCGTTCGCGTGACACGCTTATGACACCGTTAGCCATCAGCCGTCAGCGAGCGAGCGCGGCGTGCCCGAACAAACGAACGAACGAATGAACGACAAACGTGCGCGGCACACACGGCGACGAGGAAAAGCCAGTGGAACCGGCTTATCGAGATGTTATGTACAGCGCGAATGCGTGTTAAAATACGCGACACGCGCGGCTCATTGCGAGCGCGTGCTCGTCCTCGGCCTGATCTGCACCGATGTTTTATTAACGAGACGGGTGAAACTCGGCCGGGGAAACCCATGTTCAAATGCTAAGCGAGCGCCAAAGTAAATACCAATATCAAGCTTTCTACGAAGAAATGTTACAGTTGCTAAAAACCCGATTTTCAGAAATCGAGAGTAAGAAAAGAGAAAAGGATCGTGTCAAATAATGCGAGTGACGAGAAGAAATTGCGCACTCCAGTTGCTGGATCTGCCTGGTTTCCCATCTTTTGCGTGAACGCGCGCTGCGCGCAACACTCAGTCGCAAAATTCAATAATCATGCTTTAAAAAGTGGTACAATGCCGACGTCGCGAGAGGCTGCAGAAACGAGAGAGCTCGCGTCATCTCGTGCGATCGTATATTCCATTCCTGGAATTTTCAATCTTGTTCTCTTCGGCATGTAACTCATACACGCGTGCACACATATATACATGTACACACACACACACACGCATCCCGGCACTTGTCTTTTATTTATGATCGACGCACCTGCTCGTACTCTTTCCCTTTCTCGCTTTTACTCTCGTCGTTGCGTCGTTATGCATGCAAACGACACCGAATCGCGAATTTGTGATGACAACATTGACAAACTTGCCAAAATTTCAGTCGGCAAACGCAACGAATCAAATGCAAGAGATTGAGTTTTCAAATAAGAGAAAGGCTCATAGAAACATGTGAACATGTAAACATGATCTCGATACATCTAATTGTAGGTCAAATTAATATTAATATGATTAATCTGAGAAACCGACTTAGAAACTTCTTAAGTTATCCAAAATTCTATGTGAGGAAAAGCATTGCGCATTGTATAAATATTATTACTAGTTTATTATTGATATAATTAATAAAAAAAATCGCGAGTTGCAAACTGTATGGAAAAATGTTGAAAATTTAAAGAATAAACAAATTTATCTCTGAAATATTAATAAAGAATTTAACAAAAAAGCTATAGAAAAGAAAAAAGAAAATTTCTTGTCAGAGTAGAATGTATGCAATATTAAAATCTTCTGAATTTTAGAATTTATTTCCGTGCAGTGGTATCAATATGCACCTGGGGAATGTTATAACCGGAAACATATATGAATAGCTACGTTCGAGTAAATTTCCAATACGTCTTCCGCAACGCGCTACTGCACATTGCCGTGAAATTTCGTTCCGGCAGAAATTAGTTTCGTTCTGGGTTTAAAGGTAGGCGGCACTCTCTAAATGGCGTACCTCCGGGGCATGACCTATTTCGAAGCTCGTTGGCAAACCAGTTACGCCTGCTAATCATTATTGCATACTTAACTTTCGTTGTGCGACGACGGTATAGTGCCCTTGGCACTTTGAGTTGAAAAAAATCGCGACTCTCGCGCCGTCTTGACATTAATGAAAAAATAATATCAACATTAACTCTATTTTACGCCTCAGCGAAATCAATTATCAATTATCGAACTCAATCGTCAAACGTTTTATCAAAACGGATATGGCCATGTGCATTTCGCGTCTTTCTAATTTGTCGTTAACTGATATTGAGGGTTAAAAACAAATCTGACGGTACATCGACAGTTCCATGTTTGCACAAAGCGACGAATATTTCGCACGAATCTCGGGACCGAATACGAGCAATCACGCGCTCGCCAAAAGTCCTGACAAACTCTCTTTATGGGGACACGTCCCCGGTAAGAAAGTTTTTCGCGAGCCTCCGAATCTGTATTTACCTTCGGCGCGCACCAGGGATTATTTATTTTTCCCCGGTGGTTACACAGCACCGGCAACGAGGGTTGGCGCCTCCGCTATTTCGCCGACCGGCGGCGAATGCACCGTCGTCGAATCGTTACGTATTCCGCGTCGCGCGTCTCGTGCACGGAATTGCGAGTTGGCCCGGTTTCGCAAAAGAACATTCGGCGAACTTTGATAATCACTCGAAATTTCTCTCGCACCAACCTTACGTTCTATTTTAAAGGATCAAATATAGGAGTGCCACAGAAGAATCGGATGTTCTGCGCATTTGTGGATTCTTGGACCAATTTATTGATCTCGAACGAAAATCAGGCTAACATTTCTAATCGTGAGTGATGAAAAATAAACAGTTTTCTTTAGAAAAATTAAGTTCCGAGAATAAATAAAGAAAATTTATTTATTTAATGTTTAATCAAGTTCTTGACTAAAGAAAAATCAATTTCAAAGTTATTGGAAAAGTTCGCACCTAGACAATGTAAAAAATTGAAAATATCCGAAGTGCTCCGTGTAATTTTTTAAACTCTACAGCCCGAGGACGCGCGAGTTCAAAAGGCCTAATTTATTCCTTGCTCTGTATATTTTGAAATTTCACTCCCCTTCGTGCGTTACATTGCACCTTTGATGTTCGCCGAGCTCTCTCGCAACTGGAATTAACCATCAATTAATCAACAAGAGCGCACGTCGACAACGCTAATATAAAATTATTTGTCACACCGGCCGTGTGTGTGTGTGGGATAACAGTGTGTGATAAATTCATACGCCGCGAACGGAATGATTTGTTAATGGACATATCAGCCTCGGGGCATTGCAGTCTCCGCTAGCAGCAACTGCAGTTGCTGCAGCAGTCGCAACGTTTTGCTCGTTTGTTCCGTCACGCTTGCAGGCACGACGAGAAACGGACACCGCGTACGACACTGCGACTCTCCGGCGTGCTATGTAATATTGTTTGCGTAGATCTTGTAGAAGGCTAGCGGAGCACGCTGACGCGATCACGACGAGAAAACATCCTCGAGATGACTTACAGATTTTACCAGTACACCAAAAACTTGCGACCTGCGCGAGTGGCTACCGTATTGGGTACAAAAATACGCTTCTATAGATATCTTACGCACAACACGAGCGTCTCAAAGCCAGAACGACCAAAGTCGCGTTTATTTAACTCTCTGCGGCTCGGAAGCTCGATGGAAAGGTCTATATACAGATATGAGAACTTGGGTCTCTCTTTTATCCCAAAGTCTTGGAACGACATTGATTGTTCTGGTTTCGTGACATGTCAATATACATTCTAAATGTCATTTATATCAAAGGGTATCGACCTAAACTTAATCTGGAGAATCGCGAGCGGTTACGATCGCATAGTTGCAAAACGTACTTTCGATTGTTATAGTAAATTATCTCCTATCAAGCGAGGTCTTGATTGAACTGGCACCATTTACTTAAAGACGCCGTTCTTTTATTAAAAAGTTTTAAATATAATTACGAGCGTTTCTTATAATTTACGAGTCACCGAGAATATATTTTTTTCTTGTTCGTCTTGTCGAGAGTTCTTTGTCCGAGTAAGGATTAACGCGATAAGAACACACTTAAAGGCAGCGTGTTGGTCTTCAGTGCATAGTCCACGTCCGGAATGTCTAATCTATCACTTTCCACGTAATCTAAGTAGATAAATGAGATGACTGACAGAAAAATACGTACCTAATCAAGAAAAAAAGTTCTTCAGAGCTACGTACTGCGTAAACTAATATGAAATATGATCAATATTCGTAGCGTAGAAAATTATTGATTATGATTAATATTTATTAAGTGATATGTAACTGTTATCTACTATTGCTTACGGTTTAACGTGTTAGATATAGTGATAGTTTAAACATTCTACACGTAAACTATTATTTTACTGAAGAATATAAAATATTTATATATTTCTAATTAAAAAATTATCTACAATGTACAGTCATTCGCAGAAAATTGAAAAAAGAGTCTTACTTCCACGATTACGAGAGAATATTCTCGTAGTCTTCCTTCTCTTTGGTATTTTTACTGAAATAACATTTCGTTTAATTTTAGGTTCAAACATATTAGAAAAATGTGCCACGTAAAATTCCTGTTTGCTAATCTGTCGTGAAAATTAATTTGATTATCACTCGCTACGTTCGTGTCTGATATTCAATAGCTCGATTTAAATATATGCATATATAATAATGTCTCTTGTCTTTTTCAACGTTCTGCTTTATGGCTATTCGAATTTTCTCTCGCTCTCCTGGAAAATAGGTGATACCTTAATTACTGCCTTTCGTAACGAGCCGCCGACGATTTATCGACGGTAGTCCAGGATCGAGTAATCATCGATCTTGGCTCGAGGCGACGTGGATCGGGTGATGTGGGTTACAGCCGACGAACGCAAAGCGAGACGAGGCAAGTGGTGAAATCAAGGCCCGCACAAAAGCCGCCGTGTGCTCGAGCCACAGCAAATAACATGCAAGATACGACTCGATGTGCACACTACCGGGGACAATAATTATCAGTAAACTTTATAACGAATTTGGACATAGTACTCCGTTGTGAGTTTCTGCCGGAATCGACTTCGTCCCAATATCGACATCGACATCCTCATTTATCGTGAACGACGAACGATTAATGGCAGATCGCGTGAGCGATTCTCTCTTTCTCTCACTTTCACGTTTACGAACGCTCAGATCGTCGGCTTAATTACACGACTTTCATGATATACGGTACGATAACATTTATTTTAGGATGACACGAAGAGATTTTATCACTGTTTCGATAATTTATCACTCTAGCATGATTCCAATGCTGTTTGAATCTATAATTATCTATTATGGTATCTTTGACTATTGGAAAATGTTATCTATGAAATAATAATGGCAAGACAAGGTGTGATTTTATAAATAAAAATTTCATAATTTTCGAAGATAATTTTAAAGGTATGAATTTTTATGAGATTTTAAAGTTTACTGTGAAGATAATTCTAATCATTAATGCATATGATATAAATCTTATCTATTCATGCGAATAAGAAATCTTGATATCACTTTGATATGCATATACGCGTTCTAATACTGAAATCAAAGGGTATATTTCCGAAAATATCTTTCTCGACTATTCTTATGAAGGCACTTGGATTATTGCTACGTTTAATAAATCAGACATTAAATCGAACCTTAAAACACTGCAGTCAATATTCCACTTTTTCGTTTCGCAGTTGGAATATCTTTTGCGCGTAATGGAACTTTATATACTCCCGAAATTCATTCTCAAGCTGTCTCCTTAGCATATTTGATGTATATTTCATAATTCTATAAACCGAAGCAACGTTACACCGTGCGATATATTTCAGCGATTCTATCTGTCGAAGATATCGAGAGAAAATCTTGGAAAATCTTTTATTAAAAATATTCTATATAGGACCATCTTCTCGGCACGTCTCGCGAACACGCTCGCAATGAAAATAATTTTTTTTTACGATTAAGTAATATCATAGTGAACTATACACAGCTAGCACTTTTACGAGAAGACGTTCTCGTCCTTCGTCAGTCCCGAAGTCGTCCAGCAACGTAACGTGCATCGCTGATGGACGACAGCAACTCGCGCAAACGTTTAGGCTCGTCTCAAGCGCGACATGAGCGCATCTTTCGTGGCACTGACATAATATACAACGCACGCCAAGATGTCACGCATTCCATCCGTGTAACGGCCAGCCGTTCGTAGAATCGTGACAGCGAGCCCTCCGTTCTTCGCAATTGGAACGACCCTGAACTCCTCCTCCATCGTCCAGCACTGACGACTTTCACCGCCACTTCGAGAGACCTCGAAGCCGGCCGGCCCGACCGACCGAAAACGCCCGATCGCCTCTTGAGTTCTCATCGTCGACCCGAGAAACGTCCGTCCGATCCTCGTACTCAATCTCCAAGGACGCGAAACGTGAACTTGACACGTTCTTGTCACGGCAATTTTCTCTATGGCCTTCTCGATGGTTTCCCAGGTTGAAATGGTCTTCGAAAGCGCTCTCGTTGCTCATGGTTAATGAAGAGATATAACCAAACCGGCCATTAACAATGCATTAAGTGACCAAGGGAAGTAATGTTGCAACAATAATCGCTAGATATATTTTTGATGATTATGGGGACCACTGGTGTGATAATTGGCAGGTCTGTAAGGTCCGATGAGTATATATTCGTGATCGAAAGTGTACCGACCATTGTGATATCCCCATGGGAACATTTTAACCGTGGTTTCCAGTCTTCTTGTTCTATATAATTATCTTTATTTATATTGGACCAAGTCGTCGGAATTCAAAAGGATCATCGATACATCTTTCTCAAAAATCTATTATATCGAGATTAATGATTGCTCTTCAAACGTTACCGTTTGAATCTAATGGATCGATCGCAATATTCGAAACGATCTCCTTTAATCCTCTCCACGGCAAGCAACGTACGGCCCGTAAGTATCCTTCTTCATTTCTTTTGCCGATCCCCTTTCCCGACCGCAAGTCGATGACTAGTTTTAGATAAATCCGCATCAGAGCTCGGTGACTTCAATAAAATCCAATTGGTGCCGAGCGAATTCCCTTTCCGTCCTTCCATGATGAAAATCTACGACGTCGCAGCAGCCTGCTGGCTTTAAGTCACACTTCGCACATCACGGCAATGTCCTGTACCATTTCTCTCTTTCTCTTCCTCTCTCGCACAAATTTAAATCGATCACCTCGGTCGAGCGACTACCGGAAAATATCTAACGCGACCAAGTTTCGGGAGTCGACTCCGATCACACGCGAAGCTGATGGACGACGGTGGTTTTCTACTACGCGACGATGTCCATGTCGGACGAGGAATTCGATGTGGTCACCGCCAGGCTGCCGAGGGTGTCCTCGTCGGCTAAGCCGTGGTGACAGCCCGTCGCAGGTGGGCTCAATGGTGGCAGGTGCGGCGACGATAGCATCGGGTCGCCGCCATGCACCGGACCGCCGGTGTCGTCCTCCATGAGGTCCTCGAAATGCGACATGCTCAGACTCGTCGCCTCTTCCGTCACCGCCAGATCCGGTATCTACGGCAGAAAAACATCCGACGTCCTGTAAAACGAGCCGTCCTCGAGCGTGAACTCGGACTCAGTCGGGCCTGGACTCGGATGGGATGCGAGGCGTGACGGGAGAGGTGAGAGTTCGATGAGTATTTCCGGATGCGAGTTCTGCTATGAAAGTAGGAACGGATACGTTGGAAATCCTTTAGAAAAATAAGGAATGTGTTTGGATTGTCAATCTTCCATGAAAGTAGGACTGGACGTACCGGCGAAGTCGTTGCGATTAAAAGCAGGAATGGATATGCGCGTTCATATATGATAATGTTCATCGGTGGTTAATTATGTACGGTGCGAAAGCCGAATTTACATGTATACAAGAAATATTGAACGTTTATTGCTAATTACATTGCACATATAATAGGATATGATGAGACTCGTGGCAAAATGTGCAATAAAGAATGTAGAAAGTGTTAATTGAAAAGCTGTTAGATGGTCTTCAAAGACGGAAAAAGTTTTCATATTATTAAACAATCAATTTTAAAAATATTGTAAAACGTCTAATAGATAAAAAAAAATTAAGTACAGATGTACTTTTCAAAAACAAAATACAATAATAAAAAGAATTCGAAAAAGTGAAATAAATCACTTCCTTTTGATTAAAAAAAAAAAAACTAAATATTTGGCATTATCAGGATTTAAACGTCTTCGTTATCCCAGTACACATTATCGGAGTAAGCTGATTGAAGCTGTTTCTCTACCTGGCGCAATTAACTCTAGTAACTTTGTGAAGTCACAGACGGGTCGGCTTACCAGAACCGGAATTAATTTCCAATCGCATTTCAGGCGCAAAGGACTGTGATCCAATTTGCCTGCCGTTATATTACCGATGCAACTAATTCGTCGGATTACTTGCCGGTCTTCGCTACGCCGAATTTATATGAATTACGTACGACGAGGTTCGCTCGTGTTACACCATATGTACATCACAAATGAAAGGAATTGCAGAACAAGCCGCGAGTACAGCACAAACATTTTCTAAAGATTTCTATAAATTTGTAATTCGTCAGAGAATAATATGAGGCATAATTTTGCAGGAAGAAAAACCGTATATGATTTTTATTGATTAATAATAAAGATCTCTCTGGTTTGGCTCCCACGATTTCATATTTGACACAATATTTTGCGAATTGCGAATGCATGCACTTTTTTACATAACCGCTGCGTACTTGGACAACGCGGAGGGCGTTTAAATTTGCATGAAAAATGCCACGGCGCGGCGTGCCGTTGCGCAACGCGCGGTTTCTGACGTTACAGCTCATTCGGCGATTATCCTTTGTCCCGACGTCGCGTCGGAGTAACGCAGCATGTTCTTCTCGCGAAAATATACGCGCCGAGATGCGAGATAAAAGGTATAAGTCTCGCGTGAGGTAGCACGTACGATAAGAGGCAGACGGGCGATAAGGACTGCGCCGCTCCGCGGACGTACGCACGATGCCGGTGGTAAAGGTAAATATTTTGCACGACATTCAGGCGCGTGCGGATTTAACGTGTGCAATTACGTTTGCAATTATGCAATCTCGGAACGAACATTGCGCAAATCCTTCGCGCATAGCGCCTTTTCTAGCAGACATCGCGAAATAAAAGGCACTTTTTGCAAACTGTAACGTTTCGTTGAAACATAAAAAAAACAAACTGAGCAAAAAGCTTAAATATAAGGTAATAGTTCGAATAGAGGTGATATATAAGCAGACTTAGTAAATCAAACACATAGATAATTCACGAATAAATTCATTGTCTGACCGATCAGTGATATCACCATTGACTCTTAGAGACAATCTCTTCCGTTATAAAGACTATATCCTATGTATTTTTATTTCTTTTTAATATTTATTTCGCCCTTGCCTTTTTTCTAAAAATAATTCATCGTTATCTGGGGCGCATTTGTACGACATCATTTACATTTCACGTAAGATAAATCGAGGGACGAAATTAACGTTAAGCAAACCGGCGGTTAAGTGTCGCAGTAAAATTCTTCATGCAATACACGAGACAGTTCCCTCGTCTCGGTAGGAACTCGTCGCGCAAATCGCGGAGCGGGACGTTATCAATGTTTAAATTTCTCTAACCGCGAGGAAGCTGCTTGTCAGACTACTTACGTTCCGACGGAACTTTATCTGGAACAATAATTCAACTGATCCCTCTCTCGGTACGTCATCTCGCGTCTCTTTCGTTATCTCGCGCGTAGCAGCGCGACTCCGAATATTTCCAAAAAAACGCGACGAATAGACATAAATTATAACGTCAATGCACACAACAATCGTCTTTTTCACATGCCGTCATATATAAGACAAGCAGAATTTTTATTTTGAGTTCGCCGAAGGAACTCGAAATGCGATATTAGACAAAATTAGAACAGTCATATAAACAGAAATAAATAAAGACAGAAATTAAAAGCATCACGTTCGGCTTTTTTATGTATCTTATAAACTATTCGAGATGTCTATATCAAAGAATTTATAATAATTAATCGTGCCAGGAACATGTAAAGATAACTACTTTTCATAATTTCTGCATATAATAGTCATCTCTTCAACGCTTCATCATTAAAAGTTTTGCGGGTATGAGCGGACGTCAGTTACGTCACTGTTGGATACGTACGGATGTAATAAAAATGTTAATAATCTCTCTGCTTCTCTGTCTATATCCCCTTGGCAATGCGGCCTCTTTAAGAGGCCCAAATCTGTCGTCGTCGTCGAAGCGCGGCACCGTCGTTATCGGAACTTGAAGAGTTCTTAATCGTATCACGAAGCCGCGCACGTCAAATCTCGCATGTACGTACGTGCGCGACCTTATCTGGCCTACTAATTCAACAGTAACTTTTGCCGCTCATCTTACGAGATATCTCCGTCATCGGGCGTCATAAAGAGCGACGACGACGACCACCAGCGCCGACGGCTATCTCCCGGAGATCCGCTCCTCGAAATTAGGGAGCGAAATCGTAAGGAGGAGTAAAACGAACGATAGCGATTTGCACGACCAGACCACGATAAGCTGCAATTCATTAGCTGCAATAATCCGCTGCCGATATAGAATTACCAGATGGGGAAGTCAGTTGCTATGTACATTTAAAAAATTAACACTTTGAATAATAACGAATAATGAAAAATAATATAGTCCTTTTTCATACGGAAATTATGACTTCGCAATTATTATAATGGTTAAAATAAAATAATTTAATTAAATTAAAAATAATTATTATAAAAAAATCCGACTCTTTGCTGGAATTATTGCGATTATTATAACTAAAACTGTAAAATATGTGTGTTAAAATTGAAAATTTGCATAATGCTCGTGTGAAAGGCTGCAAATTGTCATGTTCGATTCCATTTGAGAATTTCGAAAGATGTCTACAAGACTCATGGTGTCGCGGTCCCGCAATCGCTTAGTCATCAGGAGATCGAACGGCGCTTGAGAGGTCGTCATCGAATGAAAGTCGCTCGAGGCACGGCGAGAAACGATACATCAATTGTACGTAAATGAGAAAATATTTCTCATTATGCAAACACGAACGGCTTCGGATCGATCCCTGGTTGCGTAATAAAACCGTTACTGCCACTGTCAAAAAACGCCCACCGCTCTCGTGTACGAGTAACGATAAATAGGTACGTGAAGGAAAGATCGCGGGCGAATGAACGTGCGAGTAAGCAAACAGTTATTTGCCTCCGTTTGCCTCCGTCTCTTTTACTCCCTCAGAACAGATGCGCGCATTATGAAACTAATCTGCCAAACGAGCGGAAGGTTTAAGTATTCGGATCAAGGATCGGATCGATCGTTACGTCGACGCCGTCAATCGCTACAGCATCGAAAACCAACCGCGCGACTGTCGCATTAATATTAAATAACTCGCCGTTACAAAACTTTAATAAAAATGACCGAAATTAATCATATTATTCGTACATCATTACGTTTTCAGAATAAAAATTTCCTCGTCAATTGAATGACTTGCTTGTTAATTGCTCTTATCAAAAATCATTATATAATATATACAAATAATAAAAACATTAACGCTTGTGATTCAAAATATATGAAAAAAGAATATAATACTTATGAATTTGAAATGTGTTATTTAAAATGCTGAATATATATGTACGGTATGTAATGCTAAATGATTTATTGTTAAAGGATCAAGGATAGACGAAAGCCAATCAAAATCACATGCAAGCGTGAATTATTATTACGGATACGGAAGTTAGACATAAAACTTGCACGATGGCGATATGAATTCGAGGCAGCGGATGTAACAAGATACGGACCGGATGGGAAAGGATTTTACACTTACCTTTCGTTGCTCGAGTTTACTCCTCGGGAAGGTGTTGAGCATAGCGGAAGTGGACACCCAGTTGAAGTCGGAAACCGGAAGACCGTGCGCCTTCGCCTGCAGCTCGAGCTCCTGCACGCGTAGTAGCAACCTGCGATTCTGATGCTCCAATTGTTTATGCCTGAGCTCGTTCTGTTTCATCCTTGTGAGTTCGTTCTTCAATAGTTTGATGTACTCCACCGAGGACTTAAGAATCGTACCCTTGTTCGGCCTGACATCCCTAACGATCTCGTAATATCTGCAAAAGAAAGGACAAAACAACGTTATTTCATGTTTTAACTGCTGTAACATTTATGTAGACTTAATACAAAACTGTAAACGCCGTGTATTTATAATTAAGATCAATCTGTATAATTTATTAAATGAGTAATTTTTGCCCAAGGTACTTTAATCAATAAAATATTTCTTAATGTTCTTGCAATCTTCCTCACATCTATCGTCAGTGGCGGCCCCGAAGGGTTGACAACGTGATTGTGATGCCTCGGCATCTCGCTCGGGATAGGTTGCATAAAGAACAGCGGTAAGAGAGATTCGTGAGTGCTGCGCTCTCACGTTTTCAATTTCCTTGGCTCCTCTCAAAGAAACACAAAAAAGTGATGACGATCCTAGTGAAAGGGAGAGTGCCAGGAAGGGGTCACCAAGCTGCTTGAGACCCCAGATTATTTCGTCGGAAACGTGTTCGAGACAGGGTGTTTCGCCGGAGATTCCCAAAGTTCCTCAACCGACCGTAATACGACTGATATTACCGTCTCTCTGAGTCACCCCGCCGGCGTCGCGCCTCGCCTCGAGATGGAATTCCGCGGGGGAGTTCGCGCAGAATATCAGACGGGGGCCGATATCTCGTCGGGACCCAGGCAACGAAATCCCGAAGAATCTCCATAACACGCGCCGCGTTCCCGTGCTCTTTGGACCTTCTTTTTCTTTCTTTCTTCTCGGCACACCGTGTCGTGTCTCGCGCCTTCGCAGATACGGCGATTTGTCGTTAGTCCGGAGAATTTCTCATGGTGGTGATCTCGAAAAATTCATGAGGAGCATTCTGCGTATGCAGAAACGAGGAGCAAGAGATAGCATCTTAGAGGTGTCTCCTCGCTCACGAGAGACATTCGCGATGATCCAGCGCGGACAATCTCACAACGCCAGAGTGAGGAATGCCTGGCAAGCGGCTCGCGAATGAAAACGTAAAAGTAACAAAAATTCAGGGATTGCCAGGGAAAGTGCACATTTCTTCAGAAACAATGTGGTAATTTTTACTGGACAGCATCAAGAATGGCTTCGAAATTGTAGCATGCCGTACGTGCTTTTTGCTTATTTTATACATTAATTTCGAAAACTCAATTATTATTACGGAACATATGGTGCGAATCGTATCTAAAAACATCGCAATCGGGAAAAAGTGTGTTAGATTGTATAAACAAGTAGCATTTTTTCTCGAAAGCAAAACAATACTGTTCGTGGAAGATCAATATCTCGTTCAAATAGAGATAAGGTATAACTGATAAGGTGCAGATATTATCCGTAAGCTATGTAATCCACACGATAATACAGAAATCGGTATTTGTAATTAAACTACAGCACCTCAAAAAAAATTAGATTGTCCTATCTTTTACAGATATGTCATTAATCACACTTCTTTGACATTGATAACGATAGCTTTGCTTCGTCAATCTCTCGCAGTGACAAATATTCAAAGGCGAAACTTTTAACGTGACTTGGGACCAATATGAAAATTTTTCATAACTAGAGATTTGCCGTAAGAGTTCGCTCTCGCGATTTAAATATTCACGAAACTCGGGAATAACACTCACGGATTTTCGTCGTTATTCACGCTTTTTTTTCCTTCGCGTCGCGCCGCGCGGCTGTTGATTTACGGCGGAATCGTTTCGTCGATTTATCGCTCGAAAAATCGCGAGTTGCCGCCGTTCACGAGACGGAGAACGACGCCGAATGGAAAGCCTATTATAAGGTGGCATTCGTCATGTCTGGGCGACACATCCATCCTTCGTGGACTCCTCGGTGAATATCCCCCGAGAGAAACCATAATCCTCCGCCTTATCCCGCGGGAAAACCGGGAGGATTGAACACGCATATCGTGCGAATATCGCACCTTTAAATTCGTGTGATCAAAGAGTGCTATCAAAATCCTGCGAGAGAAGGAATGAGACAGCAGTCTGGTCCGCGCACTAATTCACATAAAAGTCTAATCTTTACAAAAAATATATCTTTCAATTAATTTAACAGAAATGAAGGCGATGATAATATACAAGAAAATAAAATGGCGTCAAATAGATATTCCTTTGAAAATTTTGATTTTCTTTTTTGACAAAAATATTTAGTTTCGAAATTTATACTCATAAAGCACATGTAAAACAATTTAGAATAAAGCCATAGAGTATATGTAATAGTAAATTACAAAGCCGCAGAATTATAAATAATTAATAATTATCTACCAGTTTACGCTTCGCGGTAAAATGGCCCGCGTTCTTGTAACGGCGCAAACGCTCTCGCGATGTTACTAATAATTTACATTGCCTCGGCAAAACTGTAATTAAATTCACGCGCGATCGCGGATCGCGAATGGGCGCGTCGCTGCATGACTCGTGAGATTTTGCGCCTGCCGAGCAAACTCCGAAACCAAACAGCCGCCGGTATATTGCATAAAGCATCACTTTTCCACGTGAGGCGTCATCGTGTTCCCTATCCTGCAACAACTTTGCGACGAGCGAATTTGCGGGTTCGCGTACTTCAATCCGAGCTTGCAAACTGCATTTCCGCGAACACGCCTTCCACACCGAATTCGGCGTTTTATTAATTTTCCACGTTATCTAAGAGAAAACGCGCTTATTTTTTAGCGTTTACTGAATTGTTCATGGTGTACAGATTTGGTCGGTTCAACGGGAGTTCTGTTGTCGTGTTTCCAAGTTAATGCGAGTTAATATAACCCGATCCACTTTATGTGTGCAGTTTCAGCAAAACTAACGCGCGCATTTTGCCAACTTTCCCCACCGAATATATAATTGGATCCGTCGTATAATTATCTTTTAATCGATAAATTTTAACGCGAGATACTTTCTCTGTATTCTCGGTATAATATAGCTATTTAATCTGCATTTTGTGCTGACATCATACGCAGTCTTCATATTGGATAAACGTTAAATATGCGTTAAAAAAATACGGGCCATTATTTAGCTAACTAAAGAACTGTTTCAACACTCTGTCGCTCGCAGATTAAATTACCATTTCATTATTGTTAACAGGAGCATGCGACCGAATAGTTAAACATTGATCCGCGCTTCGCCGGAGACGGAGTGGCATTACAGCGCGTTTCAGACCTCTCCTCCATTCGCGAGTCGCGCGCGGTTTTCGTACTTGCACGCACGTCGGAAACGAGTTTGCACGGCGAACAATAAACAGCCAAGTGCATCGACGGGTTTCTCCATCGCTCGCGTTAATGAGGAACGACGTAAGGAGCACACGGACGAGGAACGGAAGGGAGGAGGGGATTCGGGGCGTTTTGTAGGAAACGAGGACGATTCCGAAACTTGAACGCGATGAACGGAGACACCGCAACGGAGGAAGGGACGGAGAGAAATCTGTGCCGTGTTTGCCGGTGTCTTTAGAACCAGGGCTCTACTTCGTTATCACAGGCGCGCTATCGCGCCGAGTTTACCCGCGTTCTGCTTGATATCGTCCCCGGCCAAAGCCGAAACTAAAACCCCACAGGAGAAAGACGTTACAGAGAAGACGCCGAGACACTCACGAGAAGTTCTAACGCGCGTTATTACTGACGCGTCATTACTCTTCCTTCCTTACTGGATGCGATTAGCGCGAGCAAATTTTGTCAGTCGCGACTTTGAGAAAAATAAAACGTTGGTCTCGCACGTTTGTGCAAATGTAGCTATCTTTATCGCACATAAAATATGTCTGAAGTATGAAAATACATATTTTAAAAAATTATTTAAAAAATTCGTTATTAATAATAATATTTAATATGTCATATTTGTGAATTACGATGAACATTTGTAACTAACATTGTGAATTATGATAAAAATTTCTAATTGATAATTAAGAGACGGATTTCTAACATTTTACTTATGCTGTTTGCAATAAAAGGATTAAAAATGTTTCATTAAATGACCTCTATTCTCTAAAGATATTTGTTTTACATTGTGTCTGATTCATATCAAATTTTTTTCGAGTAAACCCGCCTCCGTGAAGAAAATTGTGCAATACCTAATGCCGTTTCTTTATCACTCGCGATAGGCTGCATAGCGTTATCATACGTTTGCAGCAACTGCACGCCATTGTCTTATCGATGTAATGAACGTCATTAGATAAGAGGCGTTCGCGAATCGAGAACATATGAGCGTACTAATGTCGCACGCGACGCACAGATGCGTGGACAATGCGATCGGAATATGGGCGCGAGACCAGAATGTCAATCGGAAAATTTAAAATGCGCGTTAAATGCAATTGCAGAGAGGCATTGAAACGAGTATAAATTATCGCTGACAAACACGATCGAGGTAAAGCCGCATTAATTCAACTTTCATCTCGTCAGCTCCAAATATCGAGAGAGAAATTCGAGACGTGGAACACATTAATCCCGAGCATGCTCTCGTTATCGCCTCTATCAGTGACGTGTCGAAAAATATGACGGGAATATGACGGCAGATAAAGAACGCACACCGCTCTGCACGCTTCTCCTTCATCGGATGTGGAACGTAAATTACGATACGCGATAAATCAATAATTACAAATAACAAACTTTGCGTCTTCCTTCGCGCGAAGAGTTGCGGGACATTGAAAATTGTTGATGACGAAAATCGACAATTATATTTTAAGTAGAGGATTTAAGCAAAGCATTTTATCTTGGTAAAAGCTAGTTTCCTTAGTATTATAATTCTAACATTTCCGTAAATTTTCATTTTCTTCTAAATTTCAATTAACCGAAATTATAGACGTTAACGCATGTGATATAACTTTATCATGGAATTACAATCAATACAATTAAGTTTAAAAAAAGATCATATGATTTTTCTATATTATTAGCTGCGAAATCGAAGTAAATATATTTATCATTGCATAAAGGTTTCTTATTATCAAGGAATTACACGCAATTAACTATGAACCTAATTCGTTCGAATTTTTCCATGGTTTTTCAAGGATCGATATTCAAAGAAACGCGCCCGAGGGAAGAGGACACCGAACCCGAAAGACGGAGTTTTTAAGTTCGTTGGATGTTGACACAGACAAATGGATCGATCGTCGGATTGATAAATGAACGACGGACTCGTTCGGCTATTCTATGCAAAAGGGTGGCTCGTTAGTACGTCCATCGTGTGTCGAAGAAGTCTCGGGAAGATTCGTGTCAGGGATCATGTCCGGAACAGGTCAGACATGAACCGATCGTCGACGTGGAATCCCCAGCAAAAAATTACGGCAAAGGAAATAATTGTCCCTTTCATCACTAGCGCATGAGCAAGAAAAACATTTCCACTTAAAATACGCATTCGAAATAATTTACAATACATTTTTTGCGTAGAAGTCATTAACTCGATATTGAAAAAGATTTTGATCGTGAATTTGCAAATATTATCACTTATACAATTTAGAATAGCTTAACTAAACTCCATTTGTTGATTGTACATTATGGCTGGTATTATCACCTAGAAAGAGCAAAGTGTCGATGGGATTTAGCAAGTTAAAGATTTTACAGCTGAATAAATGACTCTAAACATAAACGTCAAACGATATAGATAAGGCTCTTTATGATGCTAGAGCTCGATATAATGGTAGATAATTAAACACATTACCGAATAACCGTATGTTAAAACTTATCTCCCATCGTAATAAAACTAACATCGCAAAAAAATTGAAGTGTCATATAATTATGTGACATACCATTAAACATCAAACTATACATGAATCATGATTTATTTTATTCAACGTTAATATTCGTAGATTGAATAAAATAGGTACTTGAAAATAATTATAATAATTTCTATGTTTATAGCATTCAAAAAAATATATAATTTTTTAATTGTTCCCTAAATTTAAATATCAAAGAAAATGTTTTCGAGTGCAAAAGAATGGAATGCCATAAAAGATTTTATAAAGTCCTTTATGTAAGACACGAGAATGCGTATGTCTGACACGACATGCGACTGTCGGAACACGCGGTAACGCAAGGAATAAACAAACTGGTCTTTTTTAATCTCGTCTCCTTGTATTTCCGGTTCGTAGCATCACTCTTCCCTCGCATTTGCCGTCATTCACCAAGTTGGAGGACATCCTAAACGAGAAAGCGTGGCGCCTTGCACGGCAGGCAAGACGGGAAACAAAGGTGAAGTAAAGGAAGGAAGAACGAGCAGCCGTGGAAAGCCAGCGAGAGAGGAAGAAACGCGAAGGAAAGAAGAGTGGAAGGGGCGAAGAATGGACTTCCGGTGAAAGCCTCTCGTCTCGAGCACCTGACCTGGACTAACTCGTCGTAAAGGGTCACGAACAGGAAATAATGGTCCGTGGGGAATGTGCAAAAGGCAAAGGCAAAAGAATAAGAAGACTACGAAAAACGGGGTGGCAATGGGTAAGAGGAGAAGCGGGAGAAGGGCGAGCGTGTGACGTGAGACTAGGAGGAAACGAAGAAGAAGAAGGAGAAGAGAGAGGAGCGAAAGAAAGAGATTCGTACTCACGGGTCATTGGTCTTGGGCAGGAGAGTGCCGAGCTCCTTGATCCTGTCGTTGATGTTGAAACGCCGCCGTCGTTCAACTGAAAACGGAAATTGTGCACATCAATCATGGCTCGCTCGCGACAGATGAGATAGATAGATATATCATGCCGTCTGTTAATTCGCCTGCTAAATAGCGCGACTGGATCGGCGTGCGTCGTGCACTCATCCTGAACGATTCGATTTTTTGATTGGAAGACATTCGCCCTCGTGTTTATTAAAGAATTAGCCGTACGGTTACCTAACATATTAGATAAGAAATCAAATCTCAATCGAGAGTGCTAATCGACAATCGGCAATTGTTATGAAAATTAAACGCTTGTATGACGCTAATACTGCAAAAACTATTTTCAATAAATCTGTGCAATAATAAAATCTTTTTGAATTAATAACCACAAAGAAACTTCGATTGTTCTTTAGTTGTAATACATTTCCAAGAGAGAGGAGAAGGCAAAGTTATAGATTTCAACTGTATTTCCTTAGACGCCAGGTTCTCTAGATCTACCTACAGACTATTACAATATTCTCCTCGAGTTTACAACCACTCGATACGATTGGAAGCAAACGCGGTACTCTTCGATCGCTCGATTGTAATAAATTACATCGTTGTCGTTCTGAACAGACGTGCGAATTGTCGAGGGTCAAATCGCCTTGTCCCTCGATATATACCCGAGGTATCGTCGTCTCGTATCGAAGTTATTCGGCAAAGCATATCGCGCTTTCCGGAGGATATAGCGTATCTCCCCTGCGGAAAAGACTACGAACCGGATCGCCCTATCGCTGGCACGTGACCCTGTTCCAGATCGATTATTCCAGCCAGGTATCTCTCGAACAGAGGTGCAAGAGGTCAAGCCGCGTAGCTCGCTATCGGTGAGCAGCTCCGATATCGCGATCGCGAGGGGGATAAGCTACTACTGCGGAAAAGTAAATTTGTCAAAGTGCGTATCGGACAGAGACATCACTTCCCATGAATGGCGGAAACGAAGCATTATGTCGAAATTAATCGATAAAAATGAAAGATACGGAACGGTCGATTAATTTCCTTCCGCTCTTTTTATACGTCATTTCAATGAATCGATTTTATCTCCATTGAAATTAATCGACATCGAATGTGATAAGAGTCGTAGATAGGAAGTAGAAAGGAAAACAAAATATTTTGCTTTTTGATAATAAATCAAGAAACAAGATAATAAATTAATTTTTTGTCTTAACAACATTATACAAATAAATCAATAAATTTAATTCTTAGAGTTTCTATTTCTCTTCTTATCTTTCGTTTCTTTACCCAGGAAATATAACCCTTTGAAGATACAAAAAGAGTAAGTAGTTAGAACTTTAATTTTGAAACTCTAAACTTTGGTCTTTGAAACAAAGAAAACAGTAAATTAGAAAACTTTTCCGAAATAAAATTTGCAAGATACAAGAAAATACTTCAACTTTGTGGAAGTCAAATATAGTTAAAGAAAAATCGGTTCCAAATAAGATCTACATCCAGTTCTGGAGCACTTCAAAGTGCATCACGGATCTACGTCACGCCAAACTAAATTCTGCAAATTGCTTATTCATACAGAGACAAATATTTGTAAATAACGCAGTAGAATGGGACTATAAAGGACGGGATACAAAATCGAGGAGATTCGTCGCACGCGCAAAGAGATGAAGGAGCAGCCTTGAAAACTTTGAGGAAATTGTAACTTCTTTTCTCGGATTCGATTCGCCTCAGGAGAGAAAGAGAAGAAGAAGATAGCGAGGAGAGCGGAGGAATAACGATGGAGAGAGAACTGGACATCAACGAGAGGAACGGGAGGGATTTCTTCTGATCTAGCTGATTAGATTACGATGGTTAATTCAGAGGGGCGTGAGGCAGACTGAAAAATCGATAAGAATGGGAATGGGACAAACGACGAAGATCGAACCTACCCGATTCTGTCGGGAAGATGCGCGAACCTATGCTTTTCACTTGGAATCAAGAGAAACGCCTTCCTAATCGACGACGACGAGTCCCATCAATCAGCTAACCCTGGTTTCCGGCAAAAAGAAATTATCCGTGAGATACGAATAAAGATTAGAGAAAAGCCTCTTTCGTCAGTCTGGGCCTGGGTTTCCCTACGAAAGAAACTGCAACCTTGCCCTCCAGCGAGTATTACAAACGCTGCGCGCGGATAAATAAAAATTCGTTTTTTACGAATATAAAAATGGGATTTTCCGAATAACTTCGCGTGCATTTTAGTTCATAATTTTTCAACAAATATTCTGAATTTATAAAAAAAAAGTATCTCAATCCATTTATTGGATTCAGGTACAATTTTTTCTTAAAAACGTTATTTCTGTTCAATTCGCAAAAAAGTTTTGCCGTGTTAAATCTCTCGAACGTACAATCTGAAACGAAAACGAAACCACTTGATCACGTTTCCTGAATGAAACAGATTAGTGGAAGATGTAATTAAAGAGAGAGGAAGAGAGTAGAATTAAACAAATTAGTAAAAAAAAAATACATTTGCAAATCGACTCGTGTTGCATGCATATCGATCTCGCGGAAAAAGGCTCTCATCGATAAGTACTTCTTTTGTTTCCCCACGTATAGCGCACGTAACCGCCGCGCCATGCAATCGACAATGCACCTCGTGGGGATGCACAATAGTAGTCGATAAGTGGCGAGACAAAAAGAGGACGAATTAGCGGAGCGACGGCGCAACTATTTTTACAGAATTCCTATTTTATGTCCGATGTCCCCGCGTGCTCTGCGGTCGTTATTTCTCCATTCTCTCTTACAAATTCGATCCCGATTCCTCCGTTTCGTGCCCTCCCAACCAACTGGACTTTCATTACGTCGACGATTGTTTTCGGAAAATTGGATGCTCCGGTTCTTCCCGATACGACCCTCGGTACCGCCCCCGATTTCTGCTTGTTTCGTTCGCGAACGCCATGCCATTTTTTTGCAATTTTTGTGACGCCTTAATTGCGAGAGACAACGGCGAAGTAGAATCGTGGAAAAAAATAGTGGATTATTACATCTCGAAAAAACCGCATAGAGTGGATTAAACAATACCCATAATAATGCAACTTTTTCGTTAAATTGAATTGTTGATTCATTAAATCAATTTTAATATATAGGTTATATTAATAATATTACATCACCTATTTTATGTATTACGTAATAAATTTATTTAAGAGCAAGAATCTGCTTAATTGTGCAAATTAAAAATCTCCTATCCCTCCTCCTCGAAATTGCATTTACAGATCAGAGCAATATATAGAATTACACTAAGGTAGAAACTATAAAACTTTTATTTAAAACATTTCTTTCGTATCTTCTACCGCTTGCTAAAATATACGATATACGCTTAAAAATACAGAAAATCGATTTTTTCGTAGGAGTGTTTTATTTTTTGCTTCCTCATAGAAAAAGCTGTTTTCGTTAATTTTTATGGCCAGTCTACAATGAGCCGTTAGTCGTTAGTCAGATGTCGGAAGAGAGTCGAAAGAAGTCATAAGCGTATCGTAAGGCGATCGGAAGTATGTAATCGGCGATCGTAAGCGATTGGCCAAATGCCATCTTTTACTTATATTTATTTTATTTATAAAAAACACATGTCTCTTATTTTGATTTGTACTATAACACTCAAACTTGTTGAAATCAAGAAGGGGACAGTTGGGTATGTTTCTTTGTAAAATTACAAATCGAGATCCAATAAAGTGTGTTCGAAATATGTATGCATTTTCGCACGGGACTCGAAAAATTCGCGTATGCAGCCAAATTTTATTGTACTGCACCGGAAAGCGAGGCGAGATAATTGAAGCTCACTGATTACTTGGTCAAATTTGCAGGATCGCCGCGACTCGCGGGAACACAATCGCGCGATTCGGCACGTAACGTGTATCGCATCGTAAAACAGAAGCCGGCGGCGACCTGGTAAAAGCGTGGCACTGTTCGAATATCGCCTCTCGAAAATTATTTAGTCGCGCACAGCGTAAGAGATAATCCATTTCGTCACCTTAATGAGATGCCCTCGGAACAGCGATCTATTGATTTTCGACGTTCAATACTTTTCCACAGAATTGAACGTAATGTTTTTGCAGAGTGTATAGTATTCCTTAACCTTTAACCCTTCGTCCGCATAGGTGGGTCGTTTTCGTTCGGGCGAAAATCAAATGTAGTTGTAACTTTTGCAAACGCGTAGAAATGGTGCCACTGCGCATCCGTAAAAAAAGTTATGCTCCCCGAGAACCCGCCTACCGAGTTTCAAGGCGCCAGACCTCCTCCAGCCGTCACAGGAGACACGTAATTCTTGAAAAAACGAGGTTGGCGGCGAACACTTAAGCACTTCATTTCAAAATAATTGCATGCAATATTTTTTTTATGAAAGGTACGTTTTTCCCCTTCAATTTCTTTTTTTATTTATTTCGATATCTTTATTTGTCTTAAAGTTATGATTTTTTGAGTAAAAGATGATTTTACAAGTTGTAGTTGTAGTTGCTCCATTTCTTAAATAAAAAATATGTGAAAAAATTAAATTGCTTATAATTTTATGATTGATACTTCAAATTGAAGGTTTGAATTACCTCCATGAATTTTTTCAGATTTTTTGTAACACTTTAACACTTAAAAAAAAACGTCAAGACGAAAACGACCCACCTATGCGGCGTAAAGGTGCCAAAAAAACGTATGCGGACGAAGGGTTAAATATGCAGTTTTTTGTTGCATTCTAAATATTTTTTTTGAGTATCTTTTTCCCTTCTAGGCTTTCCCATTCAAAAGGGAAAGAAGGGCCAGAGAAGACCCTGCGAAGCCACGCGCTTTTAATTTGAACATAAGAGAACATCGAAAAGTCGCTTCGCATATATGCAAAGCTGCGCGTTTAAGAGTTAAAATTATTGAATTAATAATTCGTATATTTGAATTTTTTAAATTAAATTAAATTAAATTAAAAATACGTTATTATGAGATATTGTACAAGTATGTGCTTGAAATATTGTTATATTGCAAATCTTCGAAAAGAATATTGTATATGTATCTGCTAAGCAATGTATTATCTCAGCTCTTTAATAAATTTAGTAAATTAAGACTGGTGCACACACACACACACACACACACACAATGCTAAAAAAAAAATAAAGATATTATAATTAAAATGACTAGAATCCTGACTATTGTACACAGAACCTCACTTCGTTTGCATAGAAAATTATTGGAAAATGTTAAAAGTTGTCTCTCTTGCGAAAACGTGAGAAAAATGGCTTCGGCATAATAATAAAAATAGATAATTTTTATTAAATTCACATCAATAATACGCGAAGTTATATTCAGTTCGTCGTCGTTGTTTGTATTAACAAATAACTGTCAAACACTAGTTTAACTGACTAACATTTGTGACACGGTGACACTTTTTCATTGTCATTTAAATAGTCCACTTACATCACAGGCACCGTGTATTGGCATAAGTGAATAGTAAATGCCGGTAACAATAACGATGTCATGGTACTGCCGATTGCTACTATTGAGGTGTAAATTGCACAGTGGCGCTTGTCAATTATTTCTACACGGGCAAACAAGCACTTGCTTGCAACCTACCGATCGAATGACAATTCAAAACGATACTCTAAGAAGAAGCAAGATTAAAACATCAACCTTATTACGGAAGCCACGTGTCTCAAGTACAAGATAAACTTCGAGGATGGAATTTTGAATATAATGAAGTCAATTAATGAGTTGAATTAAGCTCTCTTTATGGAAAAATCAAATAGACAACATTTATTCACTTGATATGTCACTGATAGTAATTTCGAAACTTGAGAAACTGATACCAAACTTATATTATAATCAATTGCTTGAATAATCCATTGATTTCCCGTATAAGGTTAATTTTAAAAAATTATTATTATTATCATGTAATTAATCGTGTAATTAATTAGAATCGATAAATCAATTTTTAATAAATGCAATCATAAAAATGTTATCATAAATGTGTTAAAAAACTAATATTTTATTAAATCACGCACCAATTTATAATAATTAAAAAATTAATATTTAAAAAATGCGACACGTGAATTTTTCGCAACCTAATCGAGAAGAGTGATTATCGACTTACTCATATTGTGATTATCCTTTTTCTGCCGATCTTTAGCGAGAGCATGAATCTCTGCCTCGGTAAGCAAGAGAGGTTCCGGTTTAATTTGAAGCTCCGGTATATTCGTGAGACTTCCGGCTTGGCCGTCCTTCAGTCCGTCGCCCAAGGAACCAGCCTCGAACGACAGGATGTCGTCCAGGAGATCCTCAGCCTGCAATCACAAAAAAGCAAACTGTCATTTGGATAGCATTAACCTGTACGGATAAAAAAGTATATCATGTGAATTTTATATAAATCTGTAATAATTAAAATATATATTAAATAGCAAATATCACGGCATCGCAAATCACTATGTAGCGTCGCGCAAAATTGATATGAGAAAAAGAGACAGAGATAAAAAGAGAAACCACATTAAAAAATTAAATTCACTATTGACAAAAGGAACGAGGGAGCAATCCTCAAGAGACCGATATGATTTATTATCGTTTCGCATCCTACGGATCTCGACGACTATCGTAAATGACAAAAATTACATTATGCAATCTATGCGAAACGACGCGCTTTTACGCGAGCATTCGGTGATAAAGCGAACTCGTCCGCCACCCTCGTGCGACAACATTACCAGGACTCACTCGGTGGTTAATGCAATTTTTCCCCGGGACGGGAATCTCACGATCGACGCAAATGATCATTCTTCACGAAGAGCAAGGAAGCGAGACGCCGACGGAGGAAGAAATTCAAAGGGAGCGATGGAACCCAGAACGAAAGGTGTGCGCGTCGTTAATAATTCCCGGGAGCGCGATCGACGTCGTTCGCTAAATCACCCTTTCATGCCTTAAAGACTTGTTGTCTTCGGCGCGCAAAGCTCTCCGCGCGATACATCGATCGTAATGCTATTCACGGGGTTCTCGATAAAATGATTCACGCGTCAACGTTTCCGCCGCCACTGTGAAAACGCGAGATCAAACTCCCTTTTTTCTCTTTTTCTCTCTTTCTTCGCCGGACATTTATTCACCGCTCCTTCTTTCCACGTCCATTCCATTCCGCACGCAATAATATTCTGCCACGAAAATGCCGATAAGCGATCGTCCGTCGCGAAACGTGATACGGATTTAAGTGCCGAATATGGTTCGGCCGGTCGATAAAACGAAACACGACGTGTTTCATATAGCGATAAATCCCGGCCAGGATTCAGCGGAAACAACAACAGATTTTTTCACGCGATTATCTACAAAACGTATCTCGTTGTAAATTAAAGATTGCGCAAAGTGTTGTGGTGATTTGCGCGATAAGAGGTGCAAGACGCATCGTAAGGAAGAATAAGATACGCTGAATGAAGCACGCTGCCTTCATTCACAAGAAGATTAAAATTCAATTTCCTGACGATCATTGATAATTCGCACTTTTTTTCTCTGGGTAGTCTAGGTAATCGAATAAATTATGAACAATTAATTTTGTATCTTCTATTTCCTGAATTATTTTCTGAGCATTGAAAAAAATATTTAGATATACTTTCAGGATAAAAAATATTCATATTCCTATATCACTTGAGATTTGTACGAAGGAATCAATACACTGAGAAAAAAATGTCGTTAATTTGACTAAACTCGTTTAGTTGTAGTGATTTGTTTAATGCAAATATTAATATATTTAAATCAAATATACGTGAGTAATATTAAGAAATTCTGAATTTATTTCAATATAATATTTTTTGAATTAACAAATGTTAGCTTGACAGCCCGTGACCGCCGCATTTAGTTAAATCAAATAATATTTCTTTGAATCAACGATTTTTTTTTCTCAGTGTACATTACAATGTGAACTACAATAAGATATTACGATTTTCTAAATTTCCAGTCACTTCACACACAATCCTAGCAGAAAGATAAATATTCTCTGAAGAAAATTGTCGTCAAAATCGTAAAAGAATTAAAGCATATGCGACTGTCGCAGCTCCGCAAGATGTGAGTCTCAAAGCGGACTCGCTTCGCCGATCTGCGCCGATGCACGTGCATCACGACTGCAGCGTGTACGTGTGTGACGTTACGTAAACATTACGTAAACAATAATAGGCGAGCACTGTGCCTGTGGAACAACGTTTCGACGCCGACTGTTGCCGCCAACCAACGGCAGATGAATCGAGTTACCTCTCGGTCCGACGAACGCGCTTTGACGCGAACGAACCGACAAAAGCCATGCGCCATGACTGCAAGCGAGAAATACGTTAATTGTATAATGGCCTACACTGACGTATATAGGTATCGTGAAAGTCGCGCGTCTTCCGCGGCAGACACTAGAATTCAAATTAAAACGATTGTCTCGATCTCGATACACATTCGAAAATGGTTCGGAAAAATCAAAGTCAGATAGAGCTATTATCGATATAAAAAAAATTTTTAATTAACCACATTTAAATTTGAAACTTGGTTCTGAATTTTAAGACATTTAATATTGGAAATTGAGCAGCGTTGTAAAATAGCGTTGAATTAAAATAGAGATCGTGATAGAAAAAAAAAACTGAATTACAATCGCTTTTAAAAAAGTTTTGCTGCCAATTTCGATATGCTAAAAAAATTGTGCTCTTATTGTTAGGAAGATAACAATGGGACCCTCTGTAGGCTCTGAGGAACGCGTACGCGAAAGAGGCAATTTCGACATGACGGCGAGGATGAATGATGCGAGTACGAAGAAGATGAGAAGTGGGTAGATGGATGACAGAGACAGCATCGATCGCCGCTGTGGTCAATGAAACTGATGCGCGTCGAAAGGGAGGCGTGATCGGTGAAGGGAATATAATGTATAGCGTATGCGATACGCGACCAAAGTAAATTGCTCTTGCAATACGAGCGCCAAGATGACAAAACGTACAACCGTCTGTGATTTAGTATTTAACTATAACGCATCTTTACTATGAGATCCGATGTAAATATACACGTATAAGATAATCCAAATTATTATTAACTGAATTTATTAACTGAATAATTTAATAATAAAAAATGAACACTTCAGCAGAAATAATTTTGTTACAATATCCATAAAATATATATGTTTTCAGCAGAAAATAATATAATATAATAAGATATAGATATCTAATAAATAAACTCTCTAATATTAATTTATGATTATCGAAACTTTTTCATATTATTATTTTAAAACTTTTTAGATATTATAGATTTTTTTATGTTTAGAAAACAAAATGTGACATGTGACCATTCCATAGAATTAAATATATCCTAATTCATATAATTCTAAAATAATAACTCGTATAATTCTATCATCATGTCGAATTCTATCATTATGTCGATTCACATTCGACATAACGAAATGCAGTCGGAAATTCGTCCTGCATACGATCTGTAATGGCTATCTGACTAGCTGAACTTAACTGGCGATAAAGAGTGTCAGACTACTCTGCAACGAACCTGCCTTTTATTTCGGCGTTCCTAAGTCAATTTCGTGAATTATGCTGCGATGTACACGCAATTCCATAAACACAATTGCACAGGGATCCGTCGCTCGTTAAGCGCGAAAAAAAGAACGCGCTACATCTTATTAAATGTCATCGTTAATGGACACCCGTTTCGTCAGTCTTGTTATGCATGCCGTACATATCGCTATGTATATGCAGCGCGTAAACGAATCGACTTTAAAGAGCCGCGTTACGGTCGAAACAGCCTTGGCCGTAGACGCGTGCGAATGGCTCGATTCTCGATCATGCACGCGCGGCAAACGTCATGCAGAGGATCGTTAATTAGGAATGTTATGAAGTCCGGTAAAAACTAAGACAATCGATTTTTTTGTTCTAATGGGATTTCTATTGCCCGTTCTACACTGGAGGATGAGCCGACTCTCGGCTCATCCGAGTGAGTGGTGTAGACGGATAAAAATCTATAGTTTATGTATAGTTTATGTCACGAACACTATAGAAGGCGGATGAGCCGAGAGTCGGCTCATCGTCCAGTCTAGAACGGGCATATAGTGCATATAATGTGCACTATAGAAATCCCAGAACGCTGCTAATTTCAGGACCACGATGATTATACCTGCATATTGTGTCGTATATCCATTTTCGTATACAATCATGGTAATAAAGTTTATAATATGCGCTTTCACTTATGTGATTTCCAAATTAGTTAGTCAAAAACACACAAATCGCAAATCGTTAATAAAAATATTACAAAAATTGTTAAACTTGTTTGATAAGGAAGTATAATATCGTTCAACTTCTCAATAAATTCTTCCTTATTGATCCAGGTATTTCCACTCAATTACAAAATTATCTGCCACCCTTTCCGCAAAGGAAAAATTATCGATATTGCTCGGTTAAATAGTACCACACTCGTGAACTAAAATTATCAACGAATCATTCAGCAATGAGCGGAGCGAATTGCAGCGACAGGAAGCAATTGCGTCTGCGATTGCGTAACGAAAGAAGATTATAATTGCATACAATTAAGTACCGCAAGCATGCGAGATAATGTCAGAATGGCTTTAATTAATTCCGGTCGCATAAGACGTCCGATCATATGCACGGCAAGAAATCGCAACGAGATGCAGTCCTTGTTCCGTTAACCATTTTGTATCTATATCTGCAATTCTGACTTTGCAGAAAAGAGTCAATAAATAAATAAATAAATAACTAGCTTGATACCGTGCTTCGCTACGGTATGCGAAGAATTCTGTAATTCACCGCCAAATCTAGATTTGCCCCTTTAGGGGTTGATTAAGGCAAAATCCTGAATTGTTTTTAAGCATTTGTATGGATAACCTTTGTAAAAACCAAGTCCATATCTTATCAGGCCTAAGAAATATTGAAGAATCCGTGAAAACATATTTTACTCCTTTTTCACCTTCGACCTTAAGGGTCGAATTTCTAAAAATCTCTTCTTAAGGTGCTTATACGTCACGGAAAGAATATACTTCTCGAATTTCACGTTTTTAAGTTTAGGGGTTAAGAGATTTGGGCTGGGCGTTGATGAGTCAGTCAGTTAGTCAAAATATTTGTTCATATATATATATATATATAAAACTACGCTCATTCTTTTTTGCCTTTTATATTTTATAAAATGTGTATGTATCTATGTAAATAATAATAGCTTTTTTTATACATGCATAATGTCACATACGTGTAACGGCAACGCTATGCAAATTCGTACACGCGGCACGTGGTGTATAGTAAGTGGTAACCATTCTTCATGCCCTTCCTCAGAA